CACCCCCACCCACCCCTACCCACCCTCGTCGACCAGCCTCCAATTGTGAACCTTATTCTGTAACTTGTCTTACTGTACGCACAGTTTGTCTCGATGAAAAAGATGAAGACCACGCTTAAATTACCTTCTATTAGCCATAAAGCACAACACAGATTGTATTTTCAAGTAGTCTGAACTAAAGTTCAGACATATTAGAAGAAGATTCCAAGTCTTCTATTCTGTTTCATCGTTAACAAATTTTTAGAGTCTTCTATTATGTCCTTATGAGATCCTTGTAATTCAGGCACACTGTAAAAAAAGAAACACACTCTGGAAAACTTGAAACGAATTTCCGATTTTGTGACTATCTGAAGCTCTAACAGTTTCCAAATTCACGAAAACGCAATGAGCCTGGCCTAAGCTAAGAAATAGAAAGCTTCCAAAAAAATAAAGAAAGTTTCCCAACCTCAAAAGTCGCTATACACAATCTATCACAGATTCCCGTTAACGATCGATTTAGAAAGGTTCGGTGAGAACAAATAGCATCTGCAAAGAATTAAGCAACATTTTCAATCTCATTAACCACAGTATTAGTTGTGCATGCCAGCTTACATATAAAAAATAAAACATATTTTATTTGTATTATTTTACTTACCATTTATAACTTATTTGATACGAAACTGAATGCTTGTTTTAGGTTACAATCCTAAATTATGGTTTCTCAATGTGATTTTTTTCCCAGAATATGATAATTTTGTTAAAAAATCGAAAATGTACAGAAAGAGATCAATACCTTTTCTAAAGGAAAATAATGAAAAAAGATAACCTTTCACTAAAAGAATGGTTATTGTTTGTTTTTTATTGGCGGAGCATTTTGTTCACATGGATGTTCAAGATCATGTAGCTGATCTGCTTTTTTTTATGAGTAGATTGTTCATCAATTAACATAGGTTTGAAATACCGACACTTGAAGCTCATTACACATTTGTTTATTGTTATTTTTTTCATGTATAACTGATAAAAAAAATTTATTTTTATTATCATCATTAAATGATCCATTATAATTTTCTGCTTATCCGTTACATGTCTACCGGACGTTTGCCTTTTTTTCATGAAGACTTCGTGGTTTTCGTTATATATTAGTTTATTTTGTTTGCTATTGTCTTCCATATAACCTTCTTACAACTTTTCAAGAATACTTTCAAATTTGTACTGAAGTCTATTTAGAAGGTGCTCTAGCAAACAACTGTGAGTATCTGAATACCCTTCGACTATGTTCTTCACGATATATTATATAGGACTGTTATTTATTGATTCATATGCTCGAAAATGAGAAGAACTACAAAATATAACTGAATAATTCTAGTCTTTCATTGTGATCGATGATCTATTACCATATTTGTGTAACCATTTCAGTTCTTCACGAACTTTTATTTTTCCATACCAAGGATTCTTGTTCAATGCATGTCCTTCATTTGGAAAAACTAATAGTTGCACAGGTATTCCGAGATAATGAAGCCCACGTTCCAATATAAAACTTTGACTGCTGTCAACTTGTACGTCTTTTTCGCCTGTTATAATATGTGTAGGTGTTTGTACTCGAGATAAATGATAAATAGGTGATTCATTTTGATAATTTTGTGGTACATCCCATGGATTTCCTCCGAACAGAGAAGGAATAAACGTTGATAGATCTACCATACTCCAAGCGGAGACGTACTCCACTGCACCGGCACCGGAGAGAGCAGCATTGAAACGTGTAGTTTGTGTAATTAGCCAATTTGTTAGAAAACCACCATAGCTGTAACCACCAATGGTAAGTCTATTTGGATCAGCAATGCCATCGTTAACTAGTTGATCAACTCCTAAAAGAATATCTCTACCCGGTCGAGATAGAGGTTGACCAAAAACTTCATTATGAAACTGATCGCCATATCCAAATGAACCTCGATAGTTGGGCTCGAAAACAAGCCAACCTTCTGAGGCTGCCAATAGTGCCCAATTGTACCAATCTGCAGTAAATGAATTAGCACTTGCAGGGCCTGGACCGCCATGAATAAGAACAAATAAGGGTAAATTTTTTGATTGAAATTTTCCCGGTGGATAATGTAAAATGCCTTCGATCGTTCGTTGATCTTTATTGTTTTTCCATTGATAAACTTTTGTTTTTGATAACTCTCGCTGTGTGTATAGTTTATTTTCACTTGTTAATGTCTGTGCTGACTGAAGTTGATCAATATTATCCACGAGATAAACTTCTTTTGGTCGTTCCAATGACGAATAAATAAATGCAATAGAACCATTTCGTTTTGATGATATTGAAATTTGTTCGTATGTTCCATTCCATCCTTGATGATAAATCAATTTGTGTGTCGGTGATTGTTGTGTATAAATTTGAGTTTCTGTGCCAATCTGTCCAAGTATGTAAACACCACCATCAGGTTTTGTCATATATCCTGCAATGTTGCCATTAAAATCTTTTCCCAGACGTTCAATATGTCCATTGGTTAAATCCAATGAATATAGTCGCTGTTGGATAGGATTGAATTTTCCTTGACTCGACTCTCCACCAAACGCGAGGAAAAGCACATGTTTATTGTCATTTGACAATCGTAATTCTTGTTCCCATAGTTCATTGTTCGTTAATCTGGATAATGTCGATAAATTTTGTAGATTAAGTGAATATATATCAATAATATTCATTTTATTAAAACCTGTTGAAAAAGATGTAAGTACAAGTTTTTCTTCGAATGGAACAAATAATAATTCTTTAATTAGCAATGAAACATTTTTGATAAGGTATCTTTTTGTGGATGATGTCTGATTATTCTTTTTAATGTCAAGACGATAAATTGAACTACCTTCCTTAGAGTTGGACAATCGATGTTGAATAACATCTTTCCATTCAACTTGCTGCAAATTTTCATCTTCTTTTGGCGGTATTGATGCGAATGTAGCAAAGTAAAGAGAGAAATCGTCGTTGGACCATGCTAAAGCTAATGGTATTTCTTTGCCAATATAAATAGGCAGCCATTCATTTGATATGACTGAATATAAGTAGATGTACTCATTTGCTTTTGGATATTCATCGGATGATGTAATTGAATTTTGATTTAGTAAAAAAGCGATCCAATTTCCACTTGGTGACCATTGCGGCTTCAAGGATTCGGAAAGCACTTTTGTAATCAATTGTTTTTTCTTCGTTTCAATATTGTATAACCATAGACTATTTTCATAAGAGTTCGAATTCCATGATGGACGTCTGGATTGAATGAACAAATGTTGACCACTAGGAGAAATACTCAATGATGGATAATTCGTAAAATCAAAATATTCGTTCAATGTTAATTTTGGTTTTGCTTCAGTCGATGAACATAATATCAATTTCAAAATTAATACTAAGCATAGTTTCATTTCTATCATTAGCATTATTGCTTATATAGTCTAAACAAAAAACAAAACTATGGAAGTCATACCTAATAAATTAGTCGAACAGTGAAAATTGAATAAAGGTATGCTTGTATCTCGTGAAAGACAAATGTCAAGAGACTACATACCTTAAATCGAATGCTTTTTTGGATATTTTATCCTGAGGAAAATTTTTCGAAAACCCTTATAGTTGTTTCTTTTTATGTCAACGAATATCTATTCATAGCTCAACAGAAAATGAGAATCACAGTGAATAAGAAAGAAAGAAACATCCAACAGTTAAAGAAGAAAGAAAACTTTTTCGAAAAAATGAGACGATTATCAGTCACAGTAGACAGATCAAACTTAGAGACTCACACTAAAACAACTCTTCCATTCCCTTCCAAAAATTTCGTATATTTTAAGCAATTGCAAGTATTCACTTGAACTCCCTAACTTTATATTTCATCGACTCACGATACACACATAAGCATACCCTTTTAAGTGGATTATCAAAGAGCATACGTGATATTTCAATAGGATTGAAGAGCAAAGGTTTGATCTGATGTTTTCTTAAATCAAACATGACATTACTCTTTCTCCTTCTCTTTATCGACTTGATGGTGAAGTCAATTATTACATTCAAGGATATCAATAAATAAGATGGTACATCTAACAGCTTCTTAGCTCTAGACTTTTGTATACTTTTTATGTTCTTTAGGTAGCTACCCAAAAAGAATTTTGAGAACCAATTAGTATTCATAAAATACATAGGGTATCTATAGAATTTGAGCGTTTCGGTAAGAACTAGGGTGTGAATGTGAGTGTCTGTATTGCTCTTTCTTACACTCACACCTATTCGAAATATCCATCTGAATTCAGTGCATTATCCCGACATAAATTTTAAATCGAGGTGCTTTTTTTTTCAATTCTACGAATCAAGTTCGAATTCTATTTTCTATTTGAATCCATTAACCAAACAATAAACGAATTGTTTCTTTTCTCTGTTTAGTAATGTAATTTATTGTACATCAAAGAGAGGAAAATGAGCTCATCAGTTATACAGCAGTCTCGAGTTGCATATTGTGGCAGGCATGTGTCCTCAATGTTACAAATGCAATGATTACTATTATGATAGTACAGATCATATTTACTGTGATCATGATAGACGTACCTATAAGAAACATCTTGGTCCACTGATTGGTCCACTTTACAGATGGCATCATCGTCAATATGCAACTTATCGCTATCGATCCTATCCGCATTATGTTTATCATTCTGCTTATCATAACTGTTGTTGATTGTCCCATAACGATGAAAAACTTGCTAATCGTTGCAGCGAAGAGCAGAGTTATCCACCAGAAGCTATACATGGACGTTTTATATGCCATTCTAAACCAAACAAGTGAATATGGTTACTTCGCAATTTTTAAAAGAATTGTATCAGTTTTTTGACTATTTTTACTTTTGGAAATTTGAATTTATCAAAATATAATTAATTGAACTGTTTACAGAAACTATTTATTTCAATTAATATCCCGAAGAAAACAAAGGCGATGATTTGAAGGTGTGGGTGAGTAGATGAGAATAACATAATTATCCTAATATCCATACCCTCAAGATTAATTTCTTCGTACTACTAAAAATGTTTTGAACAAGAAAACGAAGCATTCTAAATTAAATCTGAACCATACAGCAAATTAAAGAATCGAAATTGGTGACGCCTAGATATGTTGACGAAAAACAGATGTTGCTGTTTGTCATGATTGATTTTCATTAAACGTCAACAGAAAATAGAAAGATATGGTCTCTTGCCAAAATGGTCATCTATGACAATAAAATAAACATTTCCTTTTGTATGAGCAATAGTTCTTTAGCAGAAGTTCTTAAAAGAGAGTCTTGTAGGTGTTAATAGGCGAAGGTTAAGTCAAGTTTAGTGGATGGTCACGTAAATTATGTTAATATAAAGCTCAAAATAAAATATGAAGTTTAACTTTTTCCTATCTAATACTGTATTCCTTTAAAATTATGTGAAGAAGTGATAGGTTCAAGGCCAATACCATTTAAGGGCCCCGCCTCTTAGAAATGAAGTCCCACTTGGGACCCTTCGCTTGGGCTGAAATTTTCAGAGATGATTGGTCTTAGTGAGAAACGCTTATGATAAAAATTTCAGCTTCACATGTCCGACTAAATCGCAGTTTTGATTGGTTTTCCTACCTTTCAGAAGAATCG